TGGCATGTATGTCTCGATTGGGAACGGCTGCCATACGAGACCTAACGATGCGTCCGATGTGTTACCCCACTGCCAATCCTTTTGATTTGGAGGGTAAGCACCCGATAAAAGATTAGATATACTCTCAATACATCTTTCGGCGATAGAGCTCCTGGCGTACACCTCTCGGGGCGAGAATTTGTCGCCCAAATAGTCGCTATACTCTTGTCGTATGAATTCTCCCAACTTATACATCCGATACTTGCCTTTTGTGGTCAGTTCACCGATACCTTCGACCCAATACTTGGATAAGTCTTTGAAGGGGTCGTTGGGTGGGAAACCTAACCAATAAATAACAATTTCTGAATAACAATTGTCATTAAATGTGATTAAATAACAATTTCTGACTTGTAGGTGATCGATCTCCATGGCGGTGTACTATTTGCAACAGTTTTAGTGTTGAGATGTCGTGATCGGGCCAACGGTCTGATGCCATACATGTTGACAAATATATGCTTAATGTCCAAATTAAAATTAATTTAAACTTCATTTTAGTATTCAATGTAAGAACAAATTTATTTTTACATTTGAGATGTCGTGATCGGGCCAACGGTCTGATGCCATACATGTTGACAAATATATACTTAATGTCCAAATTAAAATTAATTTAAACTTCATTTTAGTATTCAATGTAAGAACAAATTTATTTTTACAAAATAAGTAAAGCCTTTTAATACAGTAATTAACTCTAGCTTTCAATCTCATACACTTATAAATGATTAATAGACCTGACATTTATATATTGACAGGTGTTTAAATATTCAATTACTTTATAGATTAAAAGCGGTTTATCTCATAATAAATGTTATAACTGAAGTGAATTACAGTTTTTTAATACAGTACAATGATAAGCTATTATTTTTCATGTCTCATTGTTATCAACTTATTTTTAGTTAATAATAAAAAGTTCTAACCAATTTGAACATTTATTAAAATCTGTTGTCATTTTATTGACAAATTTAAATTTAACTTAATACATTATTATCAATATTATGAATAATTTAGTATCATTTTAAATTATAAATAATTTTCATTGCATTCTTTGTCAAAGTCTTCATACAATAAATGTTTTGTTGAATCAATGTATTGATCGATTGGACAGTCCGTTAGTTTCTGACAATTATTTAATTGTATTGAATGAGGTATTCCTGGGGTTACTACAGTCTCGTTGTGATAAAAGACTCGCACAAAATAATGATCAGGATCGTTGTTATTTCTGACTTTGTTATTATGCAACTCAAAGAATAATGTGGCACCAAATGGTGGCAATTTATCATTGTATATATTCATGGCATTTAAAAAAGCAGCGATTACTGTATCATGTGTTGAATATACGTATACTTTCTTATTATTTGTATTTTTCAAAACGCTTTCAAAGTTTTTGTTTAATTCCTTAACCAAACCGCCGGCTCTTAATCGTTGAATGACAGGACTGTCCCAATTGTGGCGAAATGTCATTATATGTGAATTGTATAACTGTTTGACAATATCTTTCTCTTCATCGTTAGTCCAATACTTATCCCAATAGTAGTTGTGATCCATTTCTATGGTCAGAATGTCGTGAAAGGCATCCGCCTTATGTATGTCCACAGACTCGCCAACGATTGCACTTATATTTGCGTACAATTCCTTGTTTTTGTCCACAAACTCCTTAATTTCGCGATTATTATCGTATATTTTATGCCACTCTTTGTCAGCTTTACTACAACTCTTACCCTAAAAATTATATTTTAAATTAAAATGTTATAAAATTATTCAATTAATTATTGTGCACTGAATTAGTGTTTGATATTTACATCATTTAAGACGATATCATTATCGTGTGGCATAAATGTCTCGATAGGGAATGGCTGCCAGACTTCACCTAATTTGGCATCGGTATCATTACCCCACTGCCACTCCTTTTGCTTGGGAGGGTAGGCGCCGGCCAACAAACCCGATAAGCTCTCTATACATCTGCCCGTCACTGAACTCCTGGCGTACACCTCTCGGGGCGAGTATTTGTCGCCCAAATAGGTGTTGTATTCTTGTCGTACGAATTCTCCCAACTTATACATCCGATACTTGCCTTTTGTGGTCAGTTCTCCGATACCCTCCACCCAATACTTGGGTTCCTGATAGGGGTCGTTATGCGGGAAACCTAACCAATAAATAACAATTGTCATTAAATGTTATTAAATAACAATTTGTACAGAGTTTATTAATTTGAGTGATGTTTTAATGTCTGATTAAAAATTAAAAATAAATTTTTTTTACCGGTAGGCGCACGGTCTCCATGCCTGTGCACTATTTGCAACAGTTTTAGTGTTGAGATGTCGTGATGTGGCCACTCATCAGATGTGTGACCGATCACGAAACATATAAATAGATTTAATAATTTAATTGCAATCATTATATTTAGTATTATGTTCTTATAATGTTAGTGTTAATAAAATATATCTAATTAAAACAGTTTTATAAATTTAATACGGATTATCAATATTTTATCGCAGACTTATTTGACTTTTAGCAAATAGATAAAATATTTTGCAGTTATAATTATTAAGAATAAAAGGTTTATTATCTTAAATTAGTGAAATTAAGTGGCAATTAGTTTATCTAAATCTGTAATTTTAATCATAAAGTAGTATTTTCTTAAAGTAACAATTTATTTTTCTTTTAATTTTTGTAACTTAATAATGATTAATAAGGAACTAATTTTAATTTTGTTTATTAAGTTATTTTAACTATTTTTATAATTTATTGTATTGTTTAAGTCAATTTTGATTTTTATGATATATACCTTAATTAAAATATTGAAATAAAACTATTTATAAATTTCAAAACATCAAAAATAATTTTTAAAAAATATAAATGTATTTATTGTCATAATGTTCTGTAGGAATCCAATAAAAATAGAGTATTTAAATAATTATTAAATGTATAAATAATGTATAAATAATTAGAAATCAATAAATTCCAGGATTTATAGCGAATATTATAATTTATTGTTATGATTTATAGTGAGAATTAATATTTAGTTTATAAATCCTGGAATTTATTGATTTTTAATTATTTATAAAAAGAATTAAATTAGGTGCAAGTTTAGTTTATATGTTTTATTTCAGGTTAATAATCAGGGTAGCAGCCTGTCATGATACTTTAAATATATACAGTGGTATTAGAATACATTTATTAAATTGAATTTTAAAACACACATTTAAAAACTTTTCATAATTAATATGTAATTAAGTGCTGACAAATAAAAGTATTGAAATAACTCCAAATTAGTCATCGGAAATAAATCATAACAATAAATGCCAATCACTGGACCCGATAGATGTTCAATGAATACTTCAATTTTAATCAATTGTTTGACGGGAATAGCATTTCTGTGTTCATTAATATACGAGTATATTAGTGGATATGGTTTATACGATGCTTTACTAACTAATGTACTAATAAAATGTATGGTTAATAAAATAGCAATTTCAAACAATAACACAATAATCGCTACTAATCTTATATACAATTCTGTATTCTTGTTATGAATTACAAAAATATTTAGCAGTGTCCCAGGAGTGACCATAAAATAACTTATTAATACAATTACTTATTGATATATGTATCAATATTTTTCAATTTAATAATCGCTTATATTCGTTTTTAATATTATTTGTATGTGGCTTTTTTTATAATGATATTAGACTATTAGTTCTTAATTATTTGTATAAAAGATTCCCAATATTAAAAAATCTAGAAAATTTAAATTTAAATGAGTTTAACCATACTAACAAAATTAAATTATATTACAAATTAATCATCGACAATATTACCTTAATAGTTATATTTATTATCCTTTACTTAGTATATTGGTATTATTTATATCGAATAACATTTTATATTTTAAATGATGTTTTTAGATTTTATTATATTTTATCTGATTTCTATATAAATTGTTTAACTTTATATTTTGCTTTTAAAATACATGAGTTAATTAATTATTGTACTATTAGCGTAAAACGGCGAATCACCCATATCACCTAGACTTGATTAAATAATTGCCCCATGATTAGAATAGGGAAGATTATTTTAAGACATGTCTATTCTACTAATCAAAAATATGTCCACTGGTCAGTTTGTTATTTGAGTTTAGGCTTTTCGATGTTTGGACTTTCAAGCTTTACAAAGTTTTTGGTTTTTAAAAAGTGATGTTAATATTAATCAAAAATAAATTAGATATTAATTTGATATAATTTTAATTAAATAACATATTTTAAATTCAAAGTCTATACATTTAATTTTGAAAATAATAGGATTTGGGTCTGGAAATTAACACCTTGATTATTTTAAAAACATCGATTTAAAACATTTATTTATTACTATAATTGTATAACTATATAAATGAATTAATAATAAATTATAATATTTAGTTATTTATTATTAAGTTTGCTTATTTATTAATCGTTTAATAATAAATGATTATATCTAAAATTTATTGCACAATCATAAAATGTTTTTTATATCGCAAATCTAATGTTCAATAGAAAAGCTATATGATTATTTATGTTTATATAAAAAAATTATTATTTGAATTTCTAATATATAATATTATATAATTATAAAAATAAGAATAAACTGCAGAATAATAAATGAAACAAGTTTATTTATTAATCTGGACCATATTTTCCAAATATAGTATTCTTGAAAACACACAGTTACTAAAAAGTAAGTATTTTTTGCTAGTTAACATACAATTTGCTCTTAAATACTGTCCTTGTTACTTATGTATAAAGTTATGAAAACATAATTAATCGTGATTCAAGTAATTTTCAAAAACTCTCTCTCTCTCTCTCTCTCTCTCTCTCTTGAGAGTATATCTAATCTTTTATCGGGTGCTTACCCTCCAAATCAAAAGGATTGGCAGTGGGGTAACACATCGGACGCATCGTTAGGTCTCGTATGGCAGCCGTTCCCAATCGAGACATACATGCCACAGGACCAAGATCTCGTATTGAATAGTGTAAGATAAGAATCCCTCTCTTTCTCTCTCTCTCTCTCTCTCTCTCTCTCTCTCTCTTTCTTTCTTTCTTTCTTTCTCTCTCTTTCTCTCAAATTTGTAATATATTTTATATCTTAAGGCCAAGGATTGCAAAATTGCTGACCAGGAGTTGGATAAAATACACAACAGAAGTGATGTAAAAGAGTTTGTAAAACGAAACCAAGAGTTATATAAGAATGTGAGTCATATTGTGGGCGAAACTATAGACTTCATTGATAAGGCAAGTAGTGTGCACGGGGTACTGGATATTGAAATGTCATACAATCGCTACTGGACTCATGTATGGACTAAAGCGCAAGAGGAACAGATAGTCAAACAGTTATACGAATCGCATATCGAGGCATACCGTTTAAGAGGGGACAGTCCTATCATTCAACGTCTAAGAGCCGGTGGTTTAGTAAAGGAAATCAACAAAAACTTTGAAAGAGTGTTGAATAATACAAATACAAAGAAGTTATACGTATATGCAACACATGACACACATATGGCATTTCTCATGCAGGCTATGAATATATTCAACGATAAATTGTTACCATTTGGTGCTACAATTTTCATTGAATTACACCACAGGAAAGCCTATAATAATAACGATACCAACGATTATTTTGTGCGATACTTCTATCACAACGAGACTGTAGTGAACACGGGAACACCTTATTCAATACAATTAAATAATTGTTCATTGAATTACACCACAGGAAAGTCTATAATAATAACGATACCAACAATTATTTTGTGCGATACTTCTATCACAACGAGACTGTAGTGAACACGGGAACACCTCATTCTATACAATTAAATAATTGCCAGAAACTAACGGACTGTCCACTCAATCAATACTTTAATTCAACAAAACATTTATTGTATGAAGACTTTGATAAAGAATGCAATGAAACTAATTCTGTTTATAATACATTACATTTGAATACAGTGTATTATATGTTAACATCAATATTTATTTATCTGTACATGAAATTTATTAATTTATTTTAATAGTTATAAATATTATAACATATTAAAAAATAAAAATCATATTTAACATTATAATGAATGTTTAACTGTAATAATATTTATCACATAATATAAATTTAATTATACACTACATGAATATATTTAACTCTGGTATAAATAACAAACATTTTAAATTCATGGAATTTATACGAAAATAAATTCGATAATATCAATGACACCTATAATTATTTTGTACGAGTTTTAATCAGTACAAAACCATAGTAAACACACAATTCCTTATAAACATCTAGTAAACACACTGTAATATTTAATTCAATACAATTACTTAATTACCAGAAACAGACGGACATTTAAATCAGTCAATACATTGAATCTACAAAATATTTATTGAATAAAAACTATAATAAAGAATGAACTCAAAAATATTATATTAAAAATTGAAAATAAATAGATTTCTAAATAGGTGTAGTTTTATTAAGAATGTACTGTATAGAAATTGTACATTATATCAGAATAATATGTGAATATTTCTGTTATAAGTTTTTTCATTTATATACAGATTATATTTAAGATGATCTTGAAAATGAGATAAATTGTTATAAGGCATTGTTTACATATTACGTTCGCATGTCGCTAACCCCCCCCCACCCCTAGGAAATCAAATACCACTAATTTTATATTTAATTTAATTACAATTAAACCAATTATTTAAATCATTAATTATAAACATGGAATAGACAGTGATTTCAGAAATAGTGCTCTAGGTGGTCATGTTAAAAATGTTTTTATAAAATTATTTCCATTTTCAAAATATTTCATAAACTGGAAATTATTTTTATTCAAAGTTCATTTATTCATTCAAAGTTATCAGACAGTTGTTTTCAATAGATTAACTTTGATAAAAATTAATTCTTTAAATTCTTAGAATCATTTATATGCGAACGTTCTTAAGGTCTCAACCCCCTCCCCCCTCTCGTTTGCAAAAGTTCGCTTTGCCCGACCCCCCCGACCCCCAAGTGCGAACGTAATATGTGAACAATGCCGTATAACATTTATTATGAGATAAACCGCTTTTAATCTATAAAGTAATTGAATTAGAGTCCGAACTTTCTAGCGTTAATTAATACTTTTTTATGACTAGTCATTTTAGGGGTTAAGTATTAGGTGTTTATATTGAGTAATTAATTCACGGGGAAATTAGTTTTATGGAAATATTACTTACCTGACCCTTATTAATGGCCATTACAAATTTTTGTGAAAGCTATGTTCAGTTTAAAATAATCAGAGTTTTTACAGAAATAGGTGAACATATTATACGTTAACATAAAAACATGAGAATTAAAAATAACAACTAATACTAATACTAATTTTTGTATTATAAAAATATTCATTTTGTTTGTTGAAATATATAAATG